CCCAAAGCCTAAACTGGGTGTGGGGGCTGTCTTCTCCCATAAAACCTTAATGTTTATTCAAAACGCTTTGCTACCCCTCAGCCCCAGGCCCCAGTCTCTTTTTTTCAATGTGAGAATAAATCTGAAACTGACCTGAGGCCTGTAAAGCTGCTTCGTGCCTTTGATCTCCGAGACAGTTTATTGCTGACCTGAAGATCTGAGGGGTTTTACTGCGTGTGAGAGGGAGGCTCTGGCAGGCTTTCTAGCCATTGGTTTTTCTCATGGCTATAGTTGGAGAATGGAAGTAACCAAATATTGCCAATAACTGTTGGCAAGTATAAAGCAAGGAACCAGTAACTACAAAGGTTATAGTCAGTTTTTTAGGGACCTCAGTTGTTAACTTCAGGTTCCTATCCAAAGATATGTGGTTTGGAAGTTGTTGAGGAGTGGAACAAAAACAAGGCTAAAATATTATACTGAACGGTTTTTGTTTTCTAGACACTAAGCACTTATTAAAAAAATTACAGAAGTTGTTGGATAAATAGACTACAGTGTGCTGGAGAAAATTGTGTTATTCAAAGTTCTCATGTTATGAATCCAAAACTTATCGTGAAATACGACTTCTTTCCATACTCACTTCTGTTGGCAGAGAAACTAATGAGTAGTCCTCCACTTAGTGGTATTTGTTTTGTATAATTTAGATAATGCCAGCAGCAATATTCAGCTGCATCCATAGCTTTAACAGCAAACAAATCCTTGATGCCTTTTGAAGGGAACTTGAATCAGACAACAGGCTGATGCATAAAACTAGTCATTTGGTCAGGGTGTATTTTAGCCAAATCATTTATAATGCAGCAACACAAATACTTCTGCCACCACAGGAGTAGAATGAAAGAAGAGCAGTAACCCTTTCCAGCAGTGGATTCATGCTGTATTAAGCCAGACATCTAGTCATTGAGCTGCATTGCCCCAAATTCTGTTTTTTATCTCTGACATACAGTTTTGAATACTGTGCTTTGTAAGGTATGAAATGTACAGAAATGTGATGCAACATTTTTCTAGTGCCAACAGGTGAAAAATAATTGAAATCAAATACCATTAAGAAAAGCTTAGAGCAATGTAGAATGGTAGCAGCTATGTTGAAAAAGAAGATACATTTTCAGAGAGTGGAACCTTTCTGAAAAGTTAATTCTGAAACTTGTGTTTTACAGTAGATCCTAAGCAAGTCTGGAATAAGAAAAGTTTTACCTTGCTCCTTCCTTTTCTGCTTTTTGCTTACAGAGATCATTAGTGCTTTTATGCTGAAATCAAGCTATAGTTTTTACCTTGAAATAGTTACTAGGTTTTCACTTAACTGTTCGTTCCTTATCTAGCAGTTGGATCAAGTGTTGCAGGCAGACAAGAACGAAGTATTAAAGAAGGCTCTGCTTCGTGGTGATGTGCCATTAATTGAAGAACTCTTAAATTCCGGTGAGGAAAGTCAATTGTGAAGTTGAATATTCTTTAATTGAACCCAAAGCTTTGAAGTTTCACATTTCAAAATAGCATGTTGAGTGCATGTAAGAGTATGTGAATGTTTCAAATACAAGATATAAATTACTTTGTCATAAATACAAAAATTACTTTGTTGAAATACTGGATGCTGTATTTTAACAAATTTCTTCTAATGTGTATTTGATTTGTCAGTCAGGAGCCCTGAAAATTGAGAAGATTATGATGTGTGACTATGAAATAAGGTGTTTCTTTGATATTCTCAAGTTAAAGATGTGCCTGAAAACAATTACAAATGTTGAGTTTGAGGTGGTTTAAACTGCGAGTGAGAAATCAGTGGGTGGTCTTACCTTGGTGTTAAAGGTGGGAGGGATAGAAAGGGAAGGGTGGCTTTTTTGTTTTAATGCTCCCCCAGCTTGAAAATTCCCTTTTTTTTTTTTTTCTTTTTTTTCCTTCTTTTTTTTTTTATTTTGTCCTCACAGCACTGTTAAGTTTCTGGTATGTGCGCTGTGTAATACTGCTGTTCTGGCAACATCGGTTGGACAAAGATTTTGTGATTCTGAAAGGTCTTAATAGGGTTTATGTGGCATTTGTCACTAAAAAGTAGTTTGTCTTAACACTAAAAGCCTTTCTCCCTGTTCCATAACTCAGTATCTGTCTGTAATGTGCTTCTGTTATTCGGGATTGGATCACTTCTTGAAGCATCCAGGGCAATCAAAAACTGCATAGCTGAGTTTACCAGCTTAGTGATAATTGTCAAGAAGTTCTGCTTCAGCAAGCAAGCTGAATATAGTAGCCAAGAGCTTGCTCTCTGAGGAAAATCCATCTTATGGCTGATAGAAAGCAGTTTCCTCATTGGCAATGGGTTTTTCTGAGTTTTAAAACAATGACGTTACTTGCCCTTTTAGAGGAAGACTGTTTCTCACCACAGTGGGTGAATGGTTTTCTTCTTAAATGCGAGTCAAAACCGTTGCACGGGCCAGAACACAAGAGGTGTAATACTGAGTGAAATGCATCTTCTGTCTTGCTTTGAGGAAATGCACTCTTTTGATAGGTTGAGATTTTAGTGACATCTCTGCATCAGATTGCTTAATTGTTTTGCTACAGCCATCCATTTCTAGTTCCTTGTATTTTAGTCAAACAACAGTAATTCGCTTTCCGTATTGATGCTTGCTGCATAATGAGCAGCTTTGTGCTGTTGGAAGATGATCATAGGTATCTGTAAGAGCGTAAAATCAGGCCAAAGATTTCTATAGTCTAGTGTTCTGTCTCCTGAAATGCGCGAGACAATATCACAAGAGAATCTGTCATTTCCTGAAAAAAATTTCTTACCCAGAGACGTGGTTGAGGCTCCATCTCTGGAGGCATTCAAGGTCAGGCTTGATGAGGCTCTGAGCAACCTGATCTAGTTAAAGATGTCCCTGCTCACTGCAGGGGGGTTGGACTAGATGAACTTTAAAGGTCTCTTCCAACCCAACACATTCTATGATTCTATGAAAATAAGATTAACAGTAAATTTTGACCCATCCAGTACTGTCTTGCAGGGCAGTAGAACACAGTGTCTCTCTAACAGGGAAGTGTTCATGAAGAAAGGTAGGTAACGTTGTCCCTCAAAGGATCGGTGCTCAGTCAGATTAAATCTTTGCCTCCAAAATTACCTTTATGTGTGTTCAGTAGAGCTTGTAGGAGGCTCGCTACCAGGGCTCAACCAAACTGTGTTTGTGTTGAAAGTGGATTTCCTAGCAACAGTTGGGGCCATTCTTTTAGGTAAAGTGAGAACATGTGGTCTTCTGGCTTGCTTATGGAGCTCAGGTAGTTTTAAAGGCCTCCTTTAGGAGATGGACAAGCACAATGTCATAGGATCATAGAATCATTTCAGTCAGAAAAGACCTTTAAAATTGAGTCCAACCGTTAACCTAGTGATGTCAGGTCCACCACTAAACCATGTCCCTAAGCACCACAGCTGCACATCTTTTTAAATCCCTCCAGGGCCGGTGACTCCACCACTTCCCTGGGCAGCCTGTTCCAATGCTTGACGGCCCTTTCCATGAAGAAGTTTCTTCCTAATATCCAACCTAAACCTCACCTGGTGCAACTTGAAGCCGTTTCCTCTTGTCCTCTTGTTACTTGGGATAAGACACTGACCCCCACCTTGCCACAACCTCCTTTCAGGTAGTTGGAGAGAGAGATGAGGTATTCCTTCAGCCTCCTTTCCTCTAGACTAACCCCAGTTACCTCAGCCGCTCCTTATAAGACTTATTCTTGAGACTCTTCACCAGCTTTGTTGCCCTTCTTTGAACACGCTTCAGCACCTCAATGTCTTTCTTGTTGTAAGGTGCCCAAAACTGAACACGGGATTTGAGGTGCAACCTCTCCAGTGCCAAGTACAGAGGCATAGTCACTTCCATGAGTCTGCTGGACACACTATTCCCGATGCAGACCAAGATGCTCTTGGCCTTCCTGGCCTTCTTGGCCACCTGGGCACACCGCTGGCTCATGTTCAGCTGGACGCCCACCAGCACGCCCAGATCCTTTTCTACCAGGCAGCTTTCCAGCCATGCTTCCCCAAGCTTGTAGCATTGTTGTGACCCAAGTTCAGGACCAGGCACTTGGTCTTGTTGAACCTCATACGACTGGCCTCAACCCATCGATTCAGCCTGTCCAGGTCCCTCTGTAGAGCCTTCCTACCCTCAAGCTCCCGCCTAGCTTCATGTCATCTGCAAACTTAATGAGGGTGCACTTGGTTCCTCATTCAGATCCCTGATAAAGATATTAAACTAAACTGGCCCCAACACTGAGCCTTGGGGAGCTCAACCTGTGACCAGCTACCAACTGGATTGAATTCCATTCACACCACTCTTTGGAACTGACCGTCCACCCAGCAAAGGGCATGCCCATCCGAGCCCTGAGCAGCCAGATTTTCCAGGACAATGACGTGGGAAACGGTGTCAGAAGCTTTACTGAAGTCCAGGCAGACAACACCTACAGCCTTTCCCTCATCCAGTGAGTGGGTCACCTTGTCATAGAAGGAGATCAGGTTAGTCAGACAGGACCTGCCTTTCATAAACCCATGCTGATTGGGCCTGATCACCTGGGTGTCCTGTACGTGCCGTGTGATGGTGCTCAGGATGGTCCACTCCATAGCCTTTGCCAGCACTGAGGTCAAATTGACAGGCCTCTAGTTCCCTGGATCCTCCTTCCAGCCCTTCTTGTAGATACCTGTCAGGTTTGCTAACCTCCAGTGCACTGAGGCCTCCCCTGTTAGCCAGAACTGCTGATAAATGATGGAGCAGTTGGAGCAGCTCCCTCCATACCCCTGGGTGGGTCCCGCCCCGTCCCATAGATTTCTACGTGTTTAAGTAGATCAGCAGTCACTGACCCATTTCCCCTTGGAATATGGTGGCTTCATTCTGTTCCCTGTCTCTATCTTCCAGCTCAGGGGGCTGGGTACCCAGAGAACAACTGGTCTTCCTGTTAAAGACGGAGGCAAAGAGAATGTTAAGTATCTCAGCCTTTCCCTCATCCTTTGTCACTATGTTTCCCCCTGCATCAAATAAAGGGTGGAAATTCTCCTTAGCCCTCCTTTTGTTGCTAATATATATATAGAAACGTTTATTTTCTTTTTATATATATACGGTGACCAGTTCTGGTTGTGTTTTAGCCCTTCTAATTTACTCTCTGCATAACCTCACAACATCCTTAGAGGCTTGAAGAGTTGCCTGTCCCTTCTTCCAAAGGTCACAACATCTTTTGTCTTTCCTGAGCTCAAGCAAAACCTCCCTGTTCAGGCAGACCTATCTTCTTCCCCACTGGCTCATCTTTCTAGCACATGACACCATGTCTTCTCTTAGCCCTCCTATGAAATCACAACATACTAAGAGTGAGTTTCTTAAGTATGTGTCACAAAAAGTAAGGCAAGCAAGTAGCAGCTTCAAAGATGACTTGGACATTTTGGTCTCCTTTGGGAGTAAAATAATGAACAGCATGTAATTGATATGGTAATTTTCCTCATATGGAATTAGAAGTTACGACCTTGCAGCAGTTTAAGGAAAGATCCTTAAAGTCAAATCATTCAGGAGTCTGTTCCATTCCTATCTTTGCATGAGTGCTGGAGCTCATCTGATCTTTTGTTACCCAGTTCAGGGAATTAAAGTAGTAATAAACTATGGGAATTAGGGGTCTCTGTGTGTGTGAGTGTTTTTTTAGCCAGTTTATGACCCTGAACGCCAAGTCAGATGAGAACCATAGCTGGCCCAGCAGTGAGAGACCTACAACTCAGCTTTAAGGTATTGTGGAACCACAGAACGAAGTGCTGGCAGACTTAAAGAAGTCAATACTTCTGTTAGAGAGAAGTCTTGTAGAATTAGACATTTTAGAACTTTTCTCTCAGATAAATTTTGTCTGAATGTGAATGGATTCTAATATTAAGAGCTGTTCTTAAGCTAAATGAAAGTAGTTCAAGACCTCATGCTCTTTTTTTTTTTTTTTTTGGTCAAATGCATAATTATTTACCATAAATACTGTGTATAGGGGTTGGTTGTAGTTCTGCAGGAATTACCTTGTTAACTTTTTTGAGTTTGAGGTTAAGTTTTTCTCTGTAAAAATAGCCTTTTTACAATAGCTATTATTAGCTACAGTCAACTAAATATCCGAAAGAGATATCGGAGAAACTGTAGTAATCACAGAAAGAATGTAATTCTTCCTTTGCTGTTCTTTTGCTTCACTATTATTCACATTCTTCATGTAGTTTCCACTTTAGAGCTCATCTGGGGCCAAAATGTATTTCTCCCCATTCCTGGTTGAAGAGAAGGATATGCGACTTGGATTGTAAGAAAGAATGTTATATCTGCTTTACCTCCTGACATAATTTGTAAGGTTATGTGACTGAAGAGCTCCTCTGCGGCAGCCTTGTCTCTCTGGCTGTTGGATCATGCCTGCTTTTATACTAAAAAAAAATGTCTGGGCTTCCCTGTTGCCTTATAGGACTTCTTAAGGGCCGTTTAAAATGCTAAACTAATGCTGCTTAGTTCAAGAACAGCTCGTGTAGTGAGTCTGAGTAGTAACCAAGGAGAGACATATGACTTTCATGCTGTGTGGTACTTCAAGGCAATCACTATGAAGATGGCAGGAGACCGTGCAGGATAAACAAGCTGTAACTCACTTTTGGCCTTTCATTTCCAAAAAGACTGTTCTGCTTCCAGGACTCAGGAAAAGCACCAGCATCATGGCAAATAGCACCGGCTATGTGTGTAAAGAAAGCAGCGAGGAAAATATCTTCTCAAGAATTTTAACAAGTCTCTGTATACCTGCCAAATAGATATTTTGTCACTATTGTTCAGGTATGTCCTAAAAAAGCTCCAGATGGGAGCCCTAGTTACATGGACTGCTTTTCTTAAGAGGAAAAGGAACTTCTGAAGGCCGATAAAGTGCCACTTTTCTGGTTTTCCTTTCCTATCAGTGTTACTTCAGTGGACCGTTGGATGTTAGACTTTCTAAATTTTTGAGGTGACTCATCTACAAGGAAGTTCAGATGCGATGACTGTGGGATACTTGCTGGCTCACCTTGTAGAACTTGGCTGTGGGCTTCAGTGAAATGTTTTGTGTACTGCAAACGGATGAGATGTGGCATCAAGGACTGTGGCTAGTATGTATGCATTGCTAAGTCAATTTGATCATAAATTCTGAGACTTGCAGGCATTAGAGGTGTTAAGAGTATACCTCAACACCTGGTTTTCATTGAATGTTGCCTCTTTACTGATCATTTTTATGATATTAAACAGTTGAAGAACAGATCCAAGAGCAGTGACCTGTTACTTCCTTAGCTTTAATGATTTTATGTTGCTGCACTGAGCACATCTTTGACAAACTACCAAGGCAGGGAAAGGAGATACACATTTTGCATTAAAAGATGTGAATGTAGCTCGACTGTCACAAGTTTCTGAGGACAGTTTCGTGTTTTTTTCAGAGAGAACTGTCTATTGTAAAGAAGTACTTTTGATTATCCAGTATCGCTGTTGGACTAATATGAAATGAGCAGATGGAAACTGTTGTAGAGAAAGTAGTACATGAGGAAGGACTGAAGGAAAGATGTTTCTTATTGCAAAACTATAAGGAGATTTTTATTTGTAAGTTGTCAGATGAGTATCTCAGTCTGGTATTTGGTTCCTGATGAATTTAGGAGGGCTGTGTAGCAAGCATACTTATAGCTACGAAGGAAGATGTGTCTATTTTAAAGAGTAACAAACAAAGCTGGTGATAGTGACTGAATTTTGCATAATCTTCTATTTCTTCGTTCTCTCAAGGGAATATTTTGTTAGTACCGAACATAAAACTGGTATCTGCTAGTTAACTGCCTTGCAATCTGATAATATCTAAGAATAATCTAAGAATAATCTTCTTTGCCTGACAAGTGATTTGCTTCTACAGCAGTCTGCTTGGCTTTGCAAGAACCAAAATTTTTCATGTTGATTGAAGCAAACTATTGCATGGAATTGGAGAAAACAGAGGTTCTGTGCACTTCTTTGAAATTATTTTTGCAGCTAATTTATTACTGAAACTTTTTTTTTTCTGAGTGTAGTACTTAACTTCTTGCATCAAGATCTGTGATTCCTTGGTATCAGTTCTAGAAGTTGTTTCCTGGTGTTCTAGATAAAGGGATACTAAAACATGGAAAATTGTGTTTAAGAGCCTTTTCTCCCTAGGGCTAAACTTGGTAACGGTATGTATTGAAAGTAAGGTTTATAAAATGCATGTTCATTGTGGTGCAGTTTTATAGTTTTAGTATCTTGACTTTGACAGGTATAAGCATAGAATCCAGCTTTCAGTTTGGATGGACTCCCCTGATGTGTGCTGCCAGCGTAGCTGACTTTGCAGTGGTGCATCTTCTTCTGGACAGAGGTGCTAATGCATGCTTTGAAATAGGTAAGATGCAAATGAAAAATACTCAGTGCCAGACACTGTCCTATCCTTACCCTCTTTTTTACATGTCTAAGGAAAAAATCAAAGTTCACAGTGGAAGTGGGACCTAGTCTAGCTTTCACAGTTTTGAAATAAAACTAGTAGTTTTAAGATAAAAATTATGTTCTTGGAATAGGTCTGGAATTAGTTGCTAAGTTTTCTTGTTCTTTCTCTCTCATTCTTTCTCCCTTACCTCCTAATCCCCCGAGGACCCTTTTTTCAAGAGTTGTAGGAAAAAATGGCACAGTTAAAACTTCTTTTATTTGATTCTATTACAAAGTATGTACATGCAGAAACTAACTAGCATTGTAGAAAACAGGAGTAGATTTCTTGTTCGTGGGAAACTAGTCAGAACCTCTCTAAAAGTTTTTTCTATTAAGTGAACACTATTCTTCACTGTTTTGCTAGATCACCTTTGTATGCAAGAATTCAGTGGAGCTTCATAGCAATACCAGTTTCTCTGTCAATTTATGTGGCTTAATAATAACTTTTTCCCTCTGAAACTGTCATTATTTTCCTTCTCTTCCATTGTTTTGGAAGATTTATCAGAGGTCAAGAAAAAACATTGTGATACAGAAGAAGCTGATGCAACACACAGTACTGCCAAGCACATAAAAACAGTGATCATACTTTCTGGTAGCTTGTCAATATTTATAATAGTAGTAGACCACGATGCAGATGGTACAAATCTGGCCCTGAGGATTTTCTTGAACTTCTTAGCAGCTGAACGGAGTATGAGATTAGAGCAGATTGCCTGCACCGAAAGCAATCATGCCTTGAAATTACTGTCCTTATAGCCAACTTCATAGAACTTCTGTATGGCTGCCTACAGCTTGTACCTGTTCCTTGATTTTGGCTGTAGAGAACTGTAAATGGGGCAGAAACTAGAAGAGGCAGCAGTTTCAGCTGCCCAGTTCAGGAACGTACAAGCCATGTGTTTTCCCTGAGTGGAACCTTGCTAGGGGCAGGGGTCTTAGCTTGTTTCCCTGA